GACAAGCCAAGCAGCATCCAGCAGTCACTTCAAAGCCCAAAGTGTTGGAGCTGTGCTGTGGGGAAGCAGCAGAGGCAGCAGGGCTCGCGCAGGGTGGGCTGCTGAGCTGCAGTTTCCCTGCAGGTGAGCAGTGTTGTCCTCTGGCTGTGCTGTGACCACACACTGAAGGATGTGCCCCACGTGGATGCTGCAGTGCTGGGTCAGGGCTCAGCAGGAGGCTGCAGCTGTGGCTGTTTACATATCCTGAGCCTTTTATCTGCTTTCTTGCCTTTCCCACAGCTGAAGCCAGAAGTTCCGTTGCTCTGACTTGGAGGGGAGGAATCCTCTCCTGACTCAGGCTTTTGCCTGAGGGGACTGAGCAGGGAAATACAGAAGGATCTTGTTTGGTGTTGGTCAGAGTGCAGTTGGAGAAGGGAGCTGGGTAATGCTGTGTGTGTACCAGGGAACCACAGGTCCTCCAGGCCAAGAGCATGTGGATCGTGTGCCCCCAGGTTCCTTGCTGTCGTTACACTTCTGTGATTACAGGAGTTGGACTCAATGATCTTTTTGGATCCCTTTCCAGATTGGGATATTCTGTGATCCTTAATCTTACAATCCTGCAGCTGAACTTTGCACCCTTTTGCCATTCTTGCAGGCCACAGCAGAAGCCAACAATTTAGCAGCAGTTGCCACTGCCAAAGACACCTACAGCAGGAGAATGGAAGAGGTAGGTGTGCTGAGCAGGCTTCCTAGCAAGGTGCCCGGTGCCCCATAGCTGTCAGCATTCAAAGGGCATTTGGGAATTCCCTCATTGATGTGCTTTAACTTTTACTTGGCCCTGAAGTGCTCAGGCAGTGGGACTGGATGGTCTTTGTGGGTCCCTTCCAACAGAATATCCTGTCTTGTCCTATCCTAATCCTAGCCTATCCTGTAACCTGTGCCGTGGCCGGTGCTAGTTAGAGGATAAAGTCATTATATATCATTAAATTAAAGTAATTACATATCATTATAAGTGGCTTTTCACCTCTGCCCTGCCCTACCAGCCCATAGCAGCTCGGGCATGAGATGACTGTGGTGTTTTAAGGTGAAGCTCAGACCTCAGCTTGTTTCCTGACACTTCCAGCTCTGTTCTACAATACTGGAGGTTGCTGTGCATTGCTGTGGGAGGGGTGCAGAGCTGCATGGCCAAATTACTGTGTACTGCCCTGGGTCTGTGTTTGTGCTTGTGCCTTAAAACCCGAAGTGCTGATCTTCTGTAGCAGGAGAACAATGCTGGTTATTTGAAGGTGGACCTTTGAGTCCCCAGGTTCAAGTCCTGAGCAATAGCAGCTTGAAGACACAGTTCCAAGAGGAGGGCAGGGTCTTGTGATAGGATGAGAGCCCGGGGAGGCTCAGGCTGGGTATTAGGAACAATTTATTAGGCTAAGAGGAGGAGAGAGGGGCTGGTTCCTGAGACACCAGTGAGCAGTCAGTGTGGACATACGTGTGGTTCGTGCCGAAGGGGAGCGCACCGAGCTGCCGTTCTGGTGGTTTGCATGGAGCTGAAGGTGCTGAGTGACAGGGCTGTGCTTTCCAATGCAGGTCTGTGGTGGGGACAAGCCCTTCCTTGCACCCAGTGACCTGCAGGCCAAACACGTGGAGCTGAAGGACGAAGCCGTGAGGCTGTTCCGTGGGGTGAAGAAGATGGGAGGGGAGGAGTTCAGCCGCCGCTACCTCCAGCAGCTGGAGAACGAGATCGATGAGCTCTACATCCAGTACATCAAGCACAACGACAGCAAGAACATCTTCCATGCTGCCCGCACCCCCGCCACGCTCTTCGTCGTCATCTTCATCACTTACGTGATCGCCGGGGTGACCGGCTTCATTGGCTTGGACATCATAGCCAGTCTGTGCAACATGATCATGGGCTTGACACTTATCACACTGTGTACCTGGGCGTACATCAGATACTCTGGGGAGTACAGAGAACTGGGTGCAGTAATAGACCAAGTGGCGGCGGCGTTGTGGGACCAGGTAGGATGAAGAGCTTTTCATTTAAAAACCCACCGACCAAACCCAAGTCCCAACCCCAAGTTCTTAAGCATTGTTTCGTAGGGGTTTTTCCTCCTCTTCGAATGGCTCTTGGGTTTGCGTGTGGGGTTGTTGGGTGCAGTGGGACAGTGCACTTCAGTCTGTGCCTTAGGCCTTCCAGATGGGGAAAGCAGGGTCAGAGGAGTGTTTTCAGGTTGGGTTGTGGAGGTGATTATAAAGGGAGAAAAGTCTTAGGTCTGGGTGGCTCTGAGGGTGGAAGAGCACAGTGAGCTGAAGCTGGCAAAAGCCCTAGGCTTAAGTCTGATCCCCACAAACTGTTTTGTTCTGCCTTTTTCTGCTTGTTTTCCCCATCCCAAAATGCTGCTTTATGGACACTAGATGCTGGCACAGGGCAGCATGGAGTGTGATCCTGCTGGGGAGGTGCTCAGGACCACAGGAGTCTGTGTGCTTTGAGTGTCAAGGAGGAAGCAAGCCCTGCTCCTCCCTCCTGGCACAGGGCAGGGATTTGGCCGTTCCCAGCTGCAGGATGTTAAGGCTGGGGCTCTGTCCTGGTTGCTTCAGGCTTCATCTCTCTTTGTCTTTGCTTTGTGCAAACAGGTGCAAAGGTCCTGCTTGGGTCCTGCTGTCAGACATCCCTAAAACCTTAACAAAGGTTGCAGTGACAAAACACTGCGCTTGGCAGCACTGCCCCTTGGTTCCTTTTTATCCAGGAGTGAGGAGTTTTAGCTTCAGTGTGACCACCTCCGCTTGCTCCAGGTGTGGCTAGAGCTAACCACACGCTTCATTTTTCACACTGAGCTGTTTATTGCTCAGCTTCTTCACCCCTGAACCAGGCAGCGATGTCACTCAGCAGGGCTGCCTTTAAAAACAAGGCAAGCAGGGGCAGCCCATTGTCCACTGCATCCCAGGTGGGTCCATTCTGATATCATGGTGGTGCTACTGGTGCCTTTCAAGGGATGCTGGGTGTCAAAGCCCAACCCTGTGTAAGAACCTGGGATGAGTTCAGCACCATAGTGAGAACGGGATGGGACCAGCAGAAAGTGAGAGGCATGGATTGCCTGCAAGCTGCCCTGCTTGCAGGGGGAATTAAGGAAGAGGTTAAAGTGCTTGCAGCTGTTCCCTGGCACCCAGCTGCCCCAGGCACATCTCAGCACAACTTCCCAATGAGGGGGGAGAGCACTCCCAAGAAGGAGCTTTGCAAAGTGGCAGTGCCTCTGGGGCTTTTGGTGCCCTGGGGGGAAGAGCAGTGCTGGGAGCCCTCAGGGCTCTGTATGTGTGCTGTCCCTGTGGGTGCAGGAGGGCTGGCTGGGGCCCTGGGGGGGTCCTGCAAGCATGCTGCTGTGGGGGCACTGAATGGAGACATGACTTTTGCTCCCTTGGATGTGTGTGATACACAGAGATGCTTCTTTTTTTTTTTCTTCCCCTTTTCTTTCCCCAATGCCTCTCGCAGGGAAGCACAAATGAGGTAAGTGCCTCTCGGGTCCTCCTCTCCCCCCAGTGCTCTCCTATGGGTGCCTCGAGTGCTGGGGAGCCCCTGGGAGGCGAAGCACATGGAGCTGCTGGGTGCAAGGATGGGGGCTGATGGCAGCATGTAGCACCTCCAGTGCCAGGGGAAGGGCACTGCTGGAGGCCAAGTGGGGGAGAGAGTTCGGGGGCTTTTGTGTGTGTGTTATAAGGGGGGGGCTTGAGTCTTTCTCCTATTAATTGTGTTTGGGGATGCTATTGGGTCAGCTCCACAGCACAGCCCTGCTGCACAGCTTCTCTGTGTCAGTGCTGGTGCATTTTGCTGCCTCTGAGTGAGGTGGGAACTTCTAAGTGAGATGTGGAGCAGCTCTCACAGGTGCTGAACCCCTTCTGTCTCATGGAGACCAGTGCAGGGCTGTCTGGGGCCCTCTCTGTGCCTCAAGCACCTCTGGAAGCTGTGACTTCTAGGGCTGTGGGCTTTGCTCTATCTTTGTGCAATGGTGAAAGCTTAGTGAGCTCCTGAACTCGGTCTTTCCCCTTTTGGATGTCACAGCAGGGCTGGAAGGCAGGTGGGTTTTGAGGGCCCTTCCACCCAACCATTCTGCAGCTGCACAATCAGGAGTGGGTGCACAAACCAGAGGGCGATCTGAGCCTCTGCTGTGTTTCTTGCAGGCTTTGTACAAGCTGTACAGCGCAGCAGCGACCCACAGACATTTGTACCACCACGCCTTCCCCACACAGAAAGCGGAGCCTGCCGAGAGCCCGGACAGGAAGAAGATGTGACACAGCTGTGAGCCACGCGGCCCCGTCGGTGCATGAACGCGACATGGCCGCCATCGGTTCAGCCCTTCATTGCTCCCCCATCACGAGCTGCCATGCAGGACCAAACACGGGGCTCAGCGCCCAGCTTGGCTCTGCAGCACCGGCTGGGAAGGTTGGGGCATGTCTTGTGTTCTGTTCTGTGTACATAGCAGTGCTGCTGCCCACACAAAGTGCTTTTGGTTTGCAATATCCAGCGTACTTCCCAGCTCCTTTACAAAGCCTTATTTCTCCCTTTTTAATTAATCATTAAGGGAATTATAATTTGCGTGGCACTGCAACTAAAGACCTTCCAAATCTTAGCGTTATTCCAAACCATCTTATGTCCAGATACTTGAACAGGCTGTAACACGTAACCACGTTTTTTTTTCTTCAATTACAGCAACGTAATTAAAAATGTATTAACTTGCTCTGTCAGCAGCTGTGAGGACACTTATGCTATGGTATGTTAATGATATTGTAAGGAAAGCGTACTTTTCCATTCGTAACTGATGCACACGGTCTCACTTTGTATGAGTATTGGAGAAAGTCTCACTGTATTTCTGTATATATATCCGTTATAGTGCATAGGAATGTGTTCAGCAGTTCTATTCTTTTATTGTTAAAACTATTAAAGTTTGCTTTTTGTTCCTAAGGAGTCGGCTCTGGAGGCTGTGCACTGCTCAGGTATGAACCTTCAGTGGCAGAAATGAGCTGATCACCCCCTGGCTCATTAAACAAAGTGATTTTTATTGAATTAATAGGATTTACAAGAAATGTCTTTTTCTTTTTGTCTGCAACCATGTTTTTATTGCACTAAAAAGAATCCATAAATAACATTTCAGGACAATCAATGAACCGAATGAGAACAGCGGTGAGGGTCACTCACTGTACATGTAAAAATTTCCCCCAGGTAAGGAAACCAAATAGAAGACACAGCTCGGTTAAAAAAGAGCAGTAAGAAAGAAGAAGGTGGGGGACCCATCCCTGACGTTTCCAGGTGCGGTGCTGGGGCTCACACACTGCACTGGGGAAGCTCTGCAGTGAGGTTGGTCCTTAAGGAGGGTCAGCATTTCCCCCTCTGCCATCTGTGAGGTGGAATAGGAAAGCTAAAGGAACAACGTGTTGAACGAAGTAAAAAATAAGGCAACTCCCACTTCACTGGTGTGAAGCACATGGCAGCTCTGTGTGGTGCAGGACTGGTGGTACAGGAACAGTGTGCTGTCCATTAAAGCTGTAGGCAGAGCTCAGAGGAAGGCCTGAGGGAAACACACTGCACTACCAACAGGGATTGCAGCGGTGCTTTGCACCCAGGGCCTCTCTGGTAACTGCATCTATTGCTGTTTAAAAATATACAGTCAGCTTCTCCATAATACAGCCGACTGCTAGAAAAGGAGAGCAGAATCAGCTTCTCTGCTCCAACTCCACGCTGGTTTTCAGCATAATAAACTAGTTTTTGTATGGAAAAAGATTAACAAACGTTTCTCATTTGTATAAACAATACATAATACATGTAGAAAAATATTCAAGAGGATAATAACAAAGGTGCAATGTCAACAAAAATAAGCTGCCTTTTCAACCAAAGCACTTCTTTATGAACTGTGGGGGCTTCTGAAAGCTCCTGGCATCCCCTGTGTCCGTGGGGCAGCTCAGAAGTTCTTGCCGTGCTGCTGGGCGTACCACTGCTGCCGCTGCTTGCGGTGCTCCAGCTCAGTGAGCAGTGCCTGCCTGTAGGCTTCATACAGCTTCACAATGCGCTCCAACTCCTTCATGAAGAGCAGTTTCAGCATGCCCTGGTACGTGTCCAGGTCTGCCAGCTGGAACAGCTCCCACTTCAGGATGTGGTCGTACCTGGAGTGGCACAGAGGGTTACCTGTGGCTGCTGTGCTGCTCTGTGTTTGTTCAGTGCTGATTTAGGTCACTGCATCTCAAACTGTGTGGCACAAGTCTCATGGAACAAGGGGAGGAGAGGACCAGGTAGCATCAGTAAGGAGAAACAGCCCTAATTAGTGGCCACGTCACCTCGGTGCCAGCCCAAAGCCAACCTGTGGCTGACAGTGAGCTCCCCTGGGCAGCCCCAGCTGCTGTGCACCACAGCCTTACTCTGTATGAGATGCTGCATCCTTACTGCAGGTTCATTATTTCCTACTTCTTCCCCACACTTCTAAACATTCACCTGTGATGTGATTTTCTTATCTTGGGTATCAGCAGCTGACAAGGCAGCTACTGAAAGAACAGGAGAAAACATGGAATATGAGCAGAGCTATGAGATCCTGGTTATGTGGAGAAAGACAAAGTTTCTGACCTGTGCTTCAAAAGAGGTGGGGAAGAATCTGAACTGCAATCTCTGTTCCGAGGAAGGCACTGTCAGATTCCCCACCCTCAGTGCCCCACACATGAAGTCCACCAAACTCCCTCAGCACCTACCAGGTGGTCTTCCTGACTGCAAGGATGGATAAACACACAATGTGCAGGTTTAGTTGTTCTTTAAGAAGCCCTCAAACTGAGGAGGCAGCAAGTCAGCTGCTACCTCTCCCCCTCCCTTTCCCAGTACGAAATCAGCACGAAACAGGGTTTGCTTCTTCACATTTGAGAATGCCACAAACTCCAGTGTTCGTACCAGCATTGCTTCAGCTGAAGAAAGGTAAAAGGAGGATTTTGGGTTCTTCCCAGCACTGATTTCAGTGCCCCAGCCTTTCAGAAAGTCTCTGAGAATCTTACAGTGCTAACCTTGAAGTTTCAAGAGAAGAACCAGCAAGAACCTACACAACACAGGCTGAAATACTTAAAACTGCATTGTCTAGATGTGCCAAAGACCTAAATAAAGAAGTGCAGCTGCAGCCAAAACCTAGAAGTATTTCTAGGAACTCAGCCCTCTCCCAGGTTACAGGAACTCAGCACACCCATGCTGCACAAGTACACCCCTGGATTTTAGGTCCATTTAAATCTGGATGGATTTGCCAGCAGCCATGAGAAGTAATTAAACCCAATGCAATTACACTGACTAGAAGCAGCTAAAAACTTCAGCTGAAAGTCACTGACTGCCACATGGTTTGAGAATTTCCAAGTGTGCACTGCTGTACGGTTCAGTCTCAGCACGTTTTCCTCATGAAGAAGTATATGGTTATATAGTTATTGAAGTGCCACGTGGATGCTTTTAGAAACTGATTTTCTACTTAGTGTCAGTCTTCTGCAGAGCTGCAGCCATCAGAACACGTTTCGTTGCATTGACTCAGATTTAGACCTGGAGAAGATCCCCTGTTCCTAAAAATACCCCATGTAATTTATATGCCATGGGGCACCATTCTCACACTGAAAGTAAAGCACATGCTCCCAGTCCTGCAGTGTTAAGTAATGCCTAATGCAAAACCAACCCATCAGAAGTGGTCTCCAATCTTCTGCTAAGACACAGATAAAGACTAGCTGTGCTTATTTCCAACTTACCCATTTCCACCTGGATGAGTCAAGAGTCCAGTCCCCTTACAGGCCAATTTTTGCTATGTTTTTGGGAGATTTAAGTGTCATATATATGATTTAAATCCTAATGTATATAACACAGGTTACATGCACGGCGAGTGATCTTAATATGTATGTGTACAAACTATATATGTTTTAAAAGCACATTCTGACAGTAGTTTGTTGAATGGATGACTGAGCAACAAAAATTACAGGTCTGAAGTGTTTAGACTGAATCCTCAGCCAGCAATGATCCACTCAATTTAGTGTGACTTTATTTCTGATATGAAAAATCCAGCACAAATTCCTCACCCACTGTCAGCAACAGCTCTCATGCAGTTATGGAACAGCCAGCAGCTAGAGTTCTACTTTCAGACACCAGAATCCACTTGGTTTCTGTCTAAACGATGCACGTGTAATGTGGTGCAAAATAAGAGTAAAGAAAAGAAGCTTACTTGACAGGAGCCCTGGCGTAGACCTGCAGCCAGTCTGGAATCTCTGCAGTGTGGTAGGGGTTTGCAGGGACGAGGAGGGGTTGGCTTCTCTCTGCCTGCTGGGGCTGGTAGGTCACTGGGGGAGGTTGGTCGTAACGGGGAACGCTGTGTGGAGGAAGGCAGAGAAATTCAGCAAGCACCAAGCAGGATGTCCTGCTCTCATTAATATAGAGATGAACTTCCTGCAATACAGCAAGAAGGATCAAATAGTAGAAATTAACTGGTAGATTTGGTGCATGCTGACTTGATTTTACCTTCATGTTTTAAGCAGCTAAAATATCTGTTTTCATCCCAGAGATGACTTAGTTTGGGCTTCAGAGACAGTTTCCCAGAACATCAATCAAGTTTACCTTCAGTCTAAAACCCAATTCTGCTCTCAGCAACCCGGCTGTTTCACCAGCAGTCACAGGGAACAGCTGCTTTATTTTAGTGAGGTAAGAATAATATCCTGTTTCTAAACTGAACCAACAGAAGAGACAGAAACCAACAATTACAACTTCTAGAAGTCTCAGTACAGAAGCAGTAAAGTTTACTTTTAAAAAATAAGCTGGTTTTGGCACATAATATGCAAGGCAAAAGTTCATAGAATTGCAGAATGGCTTGGGTTGGAAGGGACCTCAAGGATCATGAAACTCCAACCCCCACCAAACACAGGGCCACCAACCTCCACATTTCACAGCAGCCCAGGCTGCCCAGGGCCCCATCCAACCTGGCCTTCAACACCTCCAGGGATGGACGGGGCATCCACAGCCTCTCTGGGCAGCTGTTCCAGCACCTCACCACTCTCACAGCAGACAATTTCCCCCTGACATCCAACCTCAGTCTCCCCTCCCTTAACTTCACACCATTTCCCCTTGTCCTGCTGTTATCTACCCTTTCCAAGAGCTGACTCCCCTCCTGTCTGTAGGCTCCCTTTAGGTACTGAAGGCTGCAATGAGGTCACCCCGCAGCCTTCTCTTCTCCATGCTGAACAAGCCCAGCTCCCTCAGCCTGTCTTTGTAGGGAAGGTGCTCCAGCCCCCTGATCATCTTTGTGGCTCCTCTGGACCCTCTCCAACAGCTCCCTGTCTTTCTTGTACTGGGGGCCCCAAACCTGGACACAGTACTCCAGATGGGGCCTCACAAAAACAGAGTAGATGGGGACAATCACCTCCCTGTCCCTGCTGGCCACCCCTCTTTTGATGGAGCCCAGGATACCATTTGCTTTCTGAGCTGCAAGGGCACACTGCTGGCTCATGTTCAGTTTTTCATCCACCAGCACCCCCAGGTCCTTCTCTGCAGGGCTACTCTCAGGAACTGCTCCTTCCAGTCTGTATATATGCCATTTCTACATTCTCAGCTGAACTAGGACAAGGACAGTCACAACAGGCAAGCCTGCTGCCATACCTGGGGGCGCAAGGATGTTTGTATTGAGCTCTCTTATTGATGTGATCCACATAATACACTCCAAACTCTGCAGACTCCACCCTCTCCCAGCCTGGTGGCAGCCCCTCCCGCTCCAGGGGGTGGCTCCAATGCGTTGTGTTGGTGTTGTGGTCGATGTAGTACTTCCTTCCTCTGATAGTCCAGTCCACTGACCAGCCAGGGGGGAGAGGTAAGTCTTCAGAGCTGTGATTTGTTAGATTTCCTAGAGATGTAGCAGCAACTCTCCCGATGCCTAAAAACAGAAAATAAAGGTATTTAACTCAACGGGTAACACCTCAAACCAATATTATGTACCAAGTTAGCTTCCCTCCTCCACAGACACGAGGCACTATGAACAGTACTGCCAGGTTTCCAGCACACACCTGTACACATTTGTAAAAGAAATTCTGATCAGGTTACAATCATAGACTTCAACTGCCTGGAAAAGAAATTATATGATACGAAAGTGTTCCAGATTAACCACTGGAGAACAGTAAGATGGACAAGCAGGAGGGAAGAGTCAGGTTTGTGCAGTGCAGCCATCAGCAGCCATTCCAGTTTCCTCTGCCCTTTCCTCCTATGTCCTGTGGACACTCAGGGCTGTTATATCAACTCCCTTTCAAAATAAAACTAGGGAAAACAACGAAGTGATGCAATCAAGACTTCCACAGGTGTCTTTCACCTTCTGGGTGCCTACTGAATGTGCTCCTGCTGGTTGTGCTGGCCCAAACTCAACTCTACTTAAAGCATTTCCTTCAGTTATCTGCAATTCTACAGTTATTCAGTCTCTGGATACAATGAAATTCCAATTACCTTTTCATCAAATGCATCTATTCATCCTCAGCATTCAGGGTTTGTACATTACTATTTCCCCACAGCCACAAGAAGGGGTGTGAGAGCTCCTTTCCCCAGTCTCTTAAAATCAAGAAGATCAGTCTCTTAAAGTCAAGAAGATATGACCATAAATGTGTTAGTCAATGAGGAACACATCCCTCTGCTTGTTTTTCAGGGTTAACATTTTTGTGCACTTATTCCTGAGTGGAAGGAAAAGGCACAGCCTTCCAGGTATGGACATTAACTCAGAAAGACAACAGGAAGAGCAGAGCAGCAGAAAAGCTCTTGTATTTCTCAGGAAATTCCATACTCTTGTTGGATGACCACAGAAATGGCCCTTTCCACCAGTGCACACACAGCCCATGTGCAGCAGGCAGGGGAAGCCACCTGTGTATCGACTGGTTACCTGCAGAATGGCAGATTGAGAAGTGGCTGGGCTGTGTTTCCAGTGACAGATCAAAGTCATCGCCAACGCAGTGGAAAGGTTTCAAAGCAACAGAATGAACAGGAGGCGTAAATGCAAGAAGTTCCTCCTGAGTTCTGCCCTGCAGAAGACATCTGCTCACCTATTTCTTGCCTCTGGGTGCTCTGGATTGCACAGCCTCAAAGTTTCCCTACTTGTTGGAGTACTCACCCACTCATCAGCTTTACGAAGGCAAGCTAATAGCTGTGCTTACGTGACAGCTCCATCCCTCATTAGGATTAAGCAACTCAGCCCTTTACTTCCAGTGGGAAGGAACATGCGAGCTGCTGCCTGACCTTTAGCCATGCTGGGGCCATGGAGAGCATTTCAGACCCTAGCCATGGTTACACCACTGGTTTTGTTTGCATTCCAGACAAAATACCAACATTTAAGCTTCTTGAAAATACTGCACTTTGGATAAGTAGTACAAATAAACAACAAATATTAAACCACCACAAGCCTGAATACCCAGATTGGACAGAGGGAGACGGTTTTCATAATAAAGGTATAAACATATTTTGCTGCTCACCCATCAGCATTTTGTCTTGTTGTGCTTTTTAAAGAGTTCCTCCCACTCGAATTCCTTCATGATTGCAGCAACAAATACGAATAGATTTGATTCATGGGGTAAAGGTGAATGTTTTTTTAACACTTTAAGGCTCGTATCAGAAGTTGCCCAAGGCAGGATGACGAACAGACAGTAAGCCACCCTCAAGTTCTGCTGCCATAAGGCCTGTGTCTGCTACACAAAAGCCAAAGAAGTTGGAAGATGGACTCAGGTAAACAGGAAAGCATCTGATCACACAGAGAACTGCTATGGGAAGCAGGCCAAAAAACAAAGCCATGCCTTGCTGGGAAGGCAGCATGGGCAGCTCTGCTTCTGTAGCAGCAGTCACCTCCAGCTGCATGGCTTCTCCCCAGAGTACACTGGGATGTCAATCTCAGAACTGTCATATACAGATAAGAAGTGCTCAGCTTACCACTCAAAGGGGTACAGATAAACTCTGAGGTCTTGGTTACAAGTCAGTTCCAATCTATACTGCAGATATAACTTCAAAGAATCACAGAATGGCCCAGGTTGGAAGGGACCTCAAGGATCACGAAGCTCCAACCCCCCACCACAGGCAGGGCCACCAACCTCCACATCTCACAGCAGCCCAGGCTGCCCAGGGCCCCATCCAACCTGGCCTTGAACACCTCCAGGGATGGACGGGGCATCCACAGCCTCTCTGGGCAGCTGTTCCAGCACCTCACCGCTCTCACAGCAAACAACTTCCCCCTGACATCCAACTGAAATCTGCCCTCCCTCAACCTCAAACCATTTCCCCTTGTCCTGCTGTTATCTCCCCTTTCCAAGAGTTGACTCCCCTCCTGTCTGTAGGCTCCCTTTAGGTACTGAAGGCTGCAATGAGGTCACCCCAAACTTCAACCACAGACCTCCCCAAACCTTTCACCTAGAACAGAGGACAGAGATGGCAAGGAAAGATGAGTGAAGTCTCTTAGAATTAAGTTGAAACACTTAGAAAAATAAATTTTAAAAAAATCAAGAAATGCCATCGAGGTATCTAAACACACAACACTGGGAAATAACTGAAGGCACTTTTCAGGAAAACCACTCATACTAGTTAGGAATTAAAATAAATCTGGTAAGAGTAAAAAGGGGAAGGTGTGGAGAAATGAATCGTGACGTGACTTGAAGGAGAAACACCAATGCAATGCAACTCTGTCACCTCCTGAAAAAAGTCAAGACATTTGCTTAATGCTGAATCCTTTGAGTGTGAAGATGTCAATGAGAAGACATTTCAATTTACTTTGTAAAGGGCTCCACTCAGGTGAAAATCTTACAAACAGTGATGGAAACATGTAGGGAAGAGGTGATCCGGACCAAAGCAAGGGATGCAGAAGGCCTGACTGTGCTGGAGACAAGGAGAGAGGAATTGGCAATTAGAGGGACTGGTGCTGCTCAAGGGAAACAAGGCTGCAGAACAGTGGGTGGCTGAAATGAGACTGAGCTTAGCTGTCAGCAAAGGGAAATAAGGAGATATGAGGTTTTCTTATTCTTGACCACATCATACTTCTACTGATATAAAGTACAATGGTTCTTCAGGGGATGTACGGAAGGACAGAGGTTAACATTCTTTCTGCAGTGAAACTACAGGTGGACTCTAAGAGTCCACATCCTGTGTTGAGATGAAAGGTAAAAGCAGAAGAAAAGGGATAATGTGTTGGCAGACAAGAGGTTCACCTCTCTGGATTATTTCCTGCACCCATTATGAAATATGTAAAATCTGTCCAAGCTATTAATTGCAAACATACACAAATGACAAAGACCAAGACCCATCAACAGCTCCTTGTTTTCCAAAGGCTAAGAAGGCATGGAGACAAACAAGAGAGAAAAGCCTGTTGAGAGAGAAACCTGTGTTGCTACAACTGAGAAAAATACAGCTGAAAAGTCCTGCTTTCTGCTTGTGTTAGAAATTTGCTAGATTAACTTCACCTTCAAACTAAAAGGTGGAGCTCCCATTTCTGCTGAGATGTTGCTCCAATTCTACAATGTGGCAATATTGGTTTTGAAGGCTTAGCATTCATCACCACTGCGTCATTTGGAGTGTAAAGCTGAGGGTTTCAGGTGTGAAATCTCCCTTCCAGTCCCATAGCAGAAGCCAACAGGTGCTGCTATGAGGACCAGGTACATATTTAATGATGAGCAGTCAACAGATGGATGGGTTTCCTGCACAGTCTAGATAGACCCCATGTAGTTAGTCAGCATTTAGCAAAGTTAAGGATGAAGTAGCAAGTTTTAAACATCAGCATCTCAAAATGCACTGCCTGGCAGCAGCAATGCCAGCACTGCTCTCCTGCCACGCTTCATTGGAACACCTCTGTATTAAAAAACAACACCACCACCAAAGCGCTGTCAGCTTTTTAACTCCAACCACAGCCTCAGTGCTGCCATTTTTACCAGCAGAGTGCAAGCAACAAAGAGCTAACAGCATATTTCATTACATTATTTACAGGTCTGAAGGCTTCTTTCAAACTCCTCCCCAAACATCATTTCAGCAATATAAACATCACTCAACACTGCCTGTAAGGTCACTTTTCTGTGGGTAACACCGACATCCCACATTTCTTCTTTCAGTACATCTACAGCAGCATGACATACAAACCAATGACTCTCCTGTGTCATCACAGATAACCAATCACTTCAAAAATAAATAAGTAAGAGATTTTTCTTTCGGATTCTCTTGTCCCATCAGAAAAATGTGACAGGCCCCTCCCTGTGAAGGGAGTGTGTGAGTATGACTCTTCCTCAGTCACATAGAATCACAGAATGGCCCAGGCTGGAAGGGACCTCAAGGATCACGAAGCTCCAACCACCTGCCATGGGCAAGACCACCAACTTCCACATCTCACAGCAGCCCAGGCTGCCCAGGGCCCCATCCAACCTGGCCTTGAACACCTCCAGGGATGGACGGGGCATCCACAGCCTCTCTGGGCAGCTGTTCCAGCACCTCACCGCTCTCACAGCAAACAACTTCCCCCTGACATCCAACCTCAGTCTCCCCTCCCTCAACTTCAAACCATTTCCCCTCATCCTGCAGTTATCTACCCTTTCAAAGAGTTGATTCCCCTCCTGTCTGAAGGCTCCCTTTAGGGACTGAAGGGCTGCAATGAGCTCACCCTGCAGCCTTCTTTTCTCCAGGCTGAACAAGCCCAGCTCCCTCAGCCTGTCTTCCTAATATTACAATATTACAAGCCAAAAAGAATTCAGGCACTAGGAAGTGAATTTCAGCACTAACTACATGCCAATTTGTTAATAACACAAAACAGTCATTACTCATTGCTTGACAATAAATAATTCATTATAAAATTAACAAAAATCAAATGACACAATGATATTCTGGGCTTGTTTAGCTTGGAGAAGAGAAGGCTGTGGGGAGACTTCATTGTAGCCTACTTGAAGTAGGAGTGTTGTAGTAGGCTACAACACTCCTACTAGTAGGAGTAATGTACTTGAAGTAGGAGTACTTGAAGGGAGTGTATAATCAGGAGGGGAAACGGGTGTTTGTGAGGGTGGATGGTGACAGGACAAGGAGGAATGGTTTTAAAGTGAGACAGGGCAGGTTTAGGTTGGATATGAGGAGGAAGTTTTTCAGCCAGAGGGTGGTGAGGCACTGGAACAGGTTGCCCAAGGAGGCTGTGGATGCCCCATCCCTGCAGGCATTCAAGGCCAGGCTGGATGTGGCTCTGGGCAGCCTGGGCTGCTGGTTGGCGACCTGCACATAGCAGGGGGTTGGAACTGGATGAGCACTGTGGGCCTTTGCAACCCAGGCCATTCTACAATGCTATGAAATACCTCTGTACCTGAAGCTATTCAGTGATACATGAAGGGCAGCAATGAACCCATCCTCACCTGAGGTGCGCCGCCCATGGTTGTGAGACATCCTCTGGAAAAGCTCCCCGCTGTGCTCGTAATACCTGTAGTCCTCATGCAAGCGATCATTCAACTGCCGTCTCCTCTGGGCATCATAGAGGTGATCATAATAGTAACAACGTGTGCCAGCATCTCCGTTTTCCATAACCGAATTGGTTTCTGTTAGAAAAGACTGGGAGGAAGAGCCATATTCTCTGGCAACATCAGCTAAACTTCGAGCAAAGTAGGAAGGCGCAGACAGTCTGTTGCTTTCACGCCTCATTATTTCCTGTGGCGGTCTCTGCACCGGCGTTCGAAGGAAACTCTGGTTTCTGGAAACAGCTCCATCTCCACCAGAGCCATAAGCAGAAGGACTTGGGTCAGGAGGGCAGATATCAGTTCGTCTTGGAATGGTCGGACCGTGACGGATAAAGGAAGGCATCAGATCTGTTACAGCAGAGAAGTGAAATGAGAACTTTGCATGCACTTATTTGGTTAGCTATGGTGCCTGACTTACACCATGCAAGTGACTTCATTCTAATGCCAGACCCCCTTTAAAGCACCTCTAATGCATACAGCAGCATAATGGTGGGGCTGCAGTTTGCACTGGCGCAACAAAAGCCTGCACAGAAGCTACTGGCAAAGCAGCAGTTTTGATAGCAGAAGAAGCCAACACAAACAGCTCCCACCCACAGAATCACAGAATGGCCCAGGTTGGAAGGGACCACAAGGATCACAAAGCTCCAACCCCCCACCACACGCAGGGCCACCAACCTCCACATCTCACAGCAGCCCAGGCTGCCCAGGGCCCCATCCAACCTGGCCTTGAACACCTCCAGGGATGGACGGGGCATCCACAGCCTCTCTGGGCAGCTGTTCCAGCACCTCACCGCTCTCACAGCAAACAACTTCCCCCTGACATCCAACTGAAATCTGCCCTCCCTCAGCTTCAAACCATTTCCCCTTGTCCTGCAGTTATCTACCCTTTCCAAGAGCTGACTCCCCTCCTGTCTGTAGGCTCCCTTTAGGTACTGGAGGCTGCAGTGAGCTCACCCCACACCCCCTCCGGACTGCAGCCCTATCAGGCAGGTTTTAAACCTCTCCACTAGGCCAAGAACCAACCCAAGCACCTTAAATCCCTCTCCATCAGCACCACTGCCCTCATCACAGAACGGCCCGGGTTGGAAAGGACCTCAAGGATCCCGAATCTCCAACCCCCCTCCACACGCAGGACCCCCAACCTCCCCGTTTACCCCCAGCCCAGCCCAGCCCCTTCGCGCACATTCACACAGCGCTGTTCTCTCCCAGCCCCGCAGCCGAGCAGCCCCCACTCGCGCCCCGCTCCCACAGGCCGTGCTGAGCGATGGCGGCCGGCTGAGGGCGCGGCTGAGCGCCGTGCCGTAACAACGCAGCCCTCCCAGCTCCGCGCCGCGCTCCCGCCCCGCCCCGCGCGGCGCTCGGTCACTCACTGCGGAGCAGCGGGCTGGTCTCCTTCTTCACGTACTTCCCCTGCACCTCGCCGGGCTTCGAGAGCTCCGTCCGCGTTTTCTTCCGCGACAGCATCCCACCTCCTCCTCCCGGCCCGCTCCCGCCGCCCGCATGCCCGGCTCCGCTCCGCGCAGGGCCGGGCCGCCCGCGGCCCCCTCAGGCGCTCAGGGCGGCGGGCGGAGGCCGTGAGCGGGGGGCGGGCTGCGGGGCGCGGCCGCGGGGTGCCGTTAGGCGCGGGGCGTTGTGGGGGGAGGAGACGAGAGGAAGGGTGGGGATAGAGCGGCGCGGCGGCGCGGTCACAGCGCCCCCTGGCGGACGGGAGGCCGCGCATCGTTCCGCTTGGAAAAACCCGGCGTCCAACCCCTCCGCCCGTACAATTTCCATAAAAGATGGAAAAACAAACAAAAACAAAACAAAACGAAAAAACCAACCCCACAGCCACAAGCAGGAGTCTTACAGCGATTTCTTTTTCTTTTTTATTTTTTACATTCGTTATAAATAACACGTAGGTTGGCTCCTCCTGCTTTACACGGTGGTGTAAGGACAGCACAGCACAACAGACCCAGTAAAAACAAACATACGCGACTGTCTCCGTTTACACAAAAAACACGTCAGCAGCGGTGGCATCTCACACAGCAGGCAGTCGTGGAAAACCTGAGAGATGGTGATGCTGTTTGTGTTGCACTCGACAGACCCGGGCTGTCCCCAGCTCTACCTCGCCTGTTATTTGGCTCAGACTATGTTACAACCCTTTCTTTTTTCAGTCAGAATTGAAATAACTCCGTTTTCTTTGCACTTAAAGTAGCAATGGGAGTACGTGTAGCAGAGTATGCCTTTATACCATTCTAAATTGACACGAAGGACTTCAGTGGGGTGAATTCAGCTCACATTCCTCTGCCCCTCCCTGGCCTCCAAGCCTGGATACCCGCATGCCTTTATTTTCACAGTGATTCACAAAGCGAGAGTTGAAAGCATTTAAAACACCTTCTGGCGATGAAGTAACTAATACCCTAATTAGCGAGCCCTGCTGTACCAAGGAGGCCCAGAAACTCAGTGATTGACCACACCACTAAATACTTTGGTATCTTTAAGATGCCTGCAGTGCATCGGAGACACATCCATGCACAAAAGACCACAAACGCTTTGCATGTTTCTACACTTATTTTCAGTAGCCTGGACTTTGTGGGACGAGCTGCTTATCTCTTGAGCTGCCACAACAAACAACACAAGGCTGGTTGGAGCACCGTGACCATTCTCCCCACCTGGGAAGGGTTTGTCCTGAATTGTCCTGCAGCAACAGAAGTCCTACAGCGTAGAAAGGCTCCAGCATGCTTAATGACAAAAGGCACTTCTGAGAATTCATTCGCACAAGCATTCCAATGAGATTTGAGCTTTTGTCTACTGTTTTCCCCCTCCACCCTTCTCCTCTCCTTTTCAGTGGTTAGGTTGGTGTTTGGAAGAAAGAAACGTAGAATGAGGCAGGATAGGGTGGGAAGGGGGACAGTTAGAATCCCTTTTCTCTGCTTCTCCCCTGTACTGCAGTGCTACATTGCATCATAGCCTGGCTTCCTTTTTTTTGTAGAATCACAGAATCATTTAGATTAGAAAAGACCTCCAACATCCCCGAGCACAACCAGCCCACTGTGCCCACTGCCCACATCCCTCAGTGGCTCTGGAACATCTCCAGGGACAATGACCCACAGAATCACAGAATCACAGAATGGCCAGGGTTGGAAGGGACCATGATGATGGAAGGACCATGACCAAGGGATCATAAATCTCCAACCCCCCTGCCACACGCAGGGCCACCAACCATCCCACCTAATGCTAGACCAGGGCCCCATCCAATCTGGCCTTGAACACCTCCAGGGATGGGGCATCCACAGCCTCTCTGGGCAATATATGAAGTGGTGTTAATATATATTAGCTAATAATACATTTCCAAACACAGTTCTGATCATCTGAACCATACGTGCATTGTTTCCTGGAAATCTTTTGAAACTTTGCTAATTTCCATAGGGTAAGCATAGTTCAAGGTGTGCTCAGTTACCACGCTGCTAACACACAGCCCTGGTACCCACGCACAGAGGTGTAGCATGAAGCACTGCACAGGTTGCCCAGAAAGGTGGTGCAGCCCCATCCCTGCAGACACCCAAGGTCAGGGGATGGGTTCTGAGTGTCCATGTTCACTGTGGGGAGTGGGATCAGATGGCCTTTAAAGGTCCCTTCCAACTCAAACTATCCTATGATTACAACTGTTACTGCTAACAGATTAATATAGAATCATGGATTCATAAATTGGTCTGGGTTGCAAAGGCCCACAGTGCTCATCCAGTTCCAACCCCCTGCTGTGTGCAGGTCGCCAACCAGCAGCCCAGGCTGCCCAGAGCCACATCCAGCCTGGCCTTGAATGCCTGCAGGGATGGGGCATCCACAGCCTCCTTGGGCAACCTGTTCCAATATTAAAAGAAGGATCTCTCAACTTCAAATTTTAAAATCAAGCTCCAACTCATGTCAGTGCGATTTGTCAACATGTTTTTGCAGCAGAGATTTACGGGATATGTAAATCTCTGAGATTACATAGACAAACAACCAGCACAGGCATTTAGAACAGCAGAATACTGAAATAATTGAAAAGGAAACTTTTGTTCCTCCAAGATATTCTGCCACTATTCCACTGCCTTTTTCTATAAGGCAATGGAGGAGGAGAAGAGGAGGTCATACCCAGCAAGTGCAGTTCAGTCCCTCAGCCCTCTGAGTGGCAGGTAACCCTTTAGACAAAGGTAGCATCCCCTACAGCCACACTGCTGAGGGAAAGTCACCTTCCATAGGTTACCCAGCAGGGTGCAGGCAGTTGCACCCCAGTGTCCAGGAGGCAGCTGCCAGGTTACAAATGCTGTCACAACTGTCACCTTGCTAGTAGTCCCAGAGATAAAGCTCCCATCTTCCCCTCCTGCATCCACAATTTATGCATATTTAAAGAGGTCCAGTATCAAGTGTTGCCAGTATGGCCCCTTTCATTGGTTTTATATACATTAAGTATGCCTTACTGGATTGATGGAGACCAGCATTTGTAGGGAAAGCCAGCATCACATTTAGACCGTTGGTAAAAATTGGTTATAACCAGCTCCAAAGCATGTGAGCTCTCATTCAGCGACTTCTGTTGGGCCCATCTCACTCCTGATCCCAAAAAGCCTGCATTCCCCATGAACTCATCAGACAGGAGGTGTAATTACCACCTGTCGTTACAAAACTCCGTGCTCTTCAGCCTTCCTGACTACAGCACCACTGCAGGTTGCTCAGGGAGCACGAAGGTAACACTCAACTAAACGCAATTCTGTTTATCCTGCTCTCCCTAATGCACGTCGACCTCCACCTACTGACATCAACATCCACATTTATTAAACTGAAGGAAACTGATTTTTTATTCCCTGAGTTCTTTGCATTCACATCGACCATGTTTCCTCACGGTTCATTGCAAACTTAGTTTCTGTACTCGGACCCACTGCAAAAGACATGTTAGTGACAAAGCTCTGTGAGGCCTGATCATAGAACCCTAGAATGGCCTGGGTTGCAAAGGACCCAATGCTCATCCAGTTCCAACCCCCTGCTGTGTGCAGGTCGCCAACCAGCAGCCCAGGCTGCCCAGAGCCACATCACTAAATTCCCCTCTTCCCTCTTCTGCCAGTTGTGTGATAAGCACATTCCACCACTATATTGAACGTACAACCTACAGGAACTCATTTCTTCACTTCTGTTTGGTGACTCTTCTATTGTTTAGTAATAATAATAAAAAAAAAAATTAAAAAAAAATAATGTAAGGCCTCTACAATTTCTTAAAAATCATAATAATAAAAAAAGAGCAGTAGTCTTTATTCGCCACCTGGGACATTTCTCCAGATGAAATACAGTTATGTCAGTTGGAGGCAGTAGTCTATTTACACATTTTTGACTGCTTTTCTTCTGTGGAGAAACAGCCATGAGGAATAACCCAGATTCCTAATGCACAAGTGGAGCAATTGCTCTACAGAAACTAGAATCGTATTGCAGGATACAGACAACATCAGGAAAGTCTTGCTTTCAATAGCAATTCCATCAGCAGTGTTCAGACTGTAGATGTCCCTCCTCGTTCCCTGTTCTAGTTGGAGCAGATGACCTACAGGTCCCTTCCAACTCAGATGAGCCTGATTATATCAATATTACCAGGTTTGGACCAGGAAATATCCCAGAAAACCAAAAGGGTTTTAAAGTCATTAGTTCAATACCAGGAGTTTGTGCTTTGACCTAAATAGAATCAACTCAGTATATTCAGAATTCGTGTTTTAAATTAAAACCAAAGTATCAAAATAAGTTAACCTAGAAAAACATACTTTTTTTTTCTTTTTTTTTTTTTTTACATAGCAAAGATCACTTTTAGACAAAACTGAGCAGAAAAATAGTTTGGGAATAAACAAAAGTAGGCAGTGTCTGCGTGGGATTTAGCTCTGCCATCCCCTTGGAGGCATCTCTTCACTAAAAGTCATCAATACAAAAAGGCAACGCAGTGAAAAGCTGAAATATTAAAATTCCAGTAAAGTGCACGGGATTGTGGCGTACTTAAGGGCTTTGCTATGATCTTAACTCAGCTGCTGAACTGAAAGATGGGGATGCCAAGTTCTTTATGATCTTATTGAGGTTGGCGATCTTCTCTTCTAGTAAATAGTTTTTCTTCTCAGCAGTTTTCTGGCGCTGCTCCGTCATCTCCAAAGCCTTCAGCAGTTGAGCGTTCTCAACATAGAGATCCTTGACCACTGCATCTGCTTTGGTGTTCTTGGAAAGCTGAATTGTGAGTGAAACGTTATTACTCAGCACACAAACAGCAGCAGAAAAAAATGAAAAGCAGTTTTAAATGGTAAGTAGGTCAAGCTGAACGCCTTCATCTTAACGTATCCAAGGAAGACAACCCGCCCTCTCACTCACTATTCTCATCTGTTAGAAACTACACGTTTATGGAGACATTATGGATGCTACGAACGTTTTGAAACTGGAAAGACTTTGCAAGGAACTTGAAAGATCATGCAGATGTTGGAGGGCTTCAAATGACCCTTTCGCCATTTGCCATCTAAGGACAGATGGGTTCCACGTCCTCATTGGTCCCACAGAGGTAATTCCACACAGGTTTGGACCACCCTATAAAATTAGGGAATTTTG